GAAGAGACAAGAGCAAGAAGAGACAAGAGCAAGAACAAATACACGCGGGCACCCCCCGACAGCACAGTGCAAGGACATCTGGTCAATCCATCAATCAACAAAGGAAGAGACACACCGACAGCAGGAAACGCACATAGCCCAGGCAGCGGAAGGCAATGCGCGTGCGGGCCGCCCGGTCGGCGAGCGAGGCGCCCGGATCGAACCCCGGCCGGCGAAGGTACATGGCCCACAGGAAGCCGGCCCGGTCGGCGCAGACGAAACGCTGGACCTCCATGGGCGGCTGCCCGGGGGGAGAGCCATCAGCCGGGCGCCGGGCGCCACGCCGGCCCCCGGACGCCGGCACATGCCGGGCACTGTCCAAGAAGGCACACACCCCGGGGATGAGGCCGCCATTGGCGATGGCCACATCCGGGGCCAGGGCACTGGCCGCCAGGCCGGTCTGCCCGGCCAGCCCCTCCAGCAGCTGGGCATCGGTCGGGGGCTCGAAGTACAGCAGCGAGTTGCTTGACAGGATGAGGAACCCCGGGGCCGGGCCGGGGCCGGGGCCGGGGCCGGAGCTGCCCGGCGGCGCCGGGCGCACCGGGCAAATGGCCGCCGTGCCAACCTCCACCGGGTGGGTGATCATCCATTCGGAGCTGTCCAGCTGGACCACCGCCTCAAGGGTGTTGGACAGGTCGATCGAGTGGCCGGAGGTCAGGCGGATGGTGGGAGGAGCGAGGCCGGTGGTGGTGGCCGCCGCGGCCGCGGCCGCCGCCGCCGCCGCCGCCGCAGTCGTGGTGTGGAAGGCCACCGCCAGGCGCCCCCCCTGGATGGTGTGCATCTGCTGCTGCTGCTGCTGCTGCTGCTGCTGCTGCTGCGCCGGTTGCTGCTGCTGCGTCGGCTGTGACTGCGACTGGCCCGACCCGGCGGCAGGCCCGCCGGGCGCGCTGTCGGCCCGGGAAAGGAAGCACACCCGGTACTCGAGGACCGGATAGAGGGGCCGTTCGCGGCGAGCATCGCGCGCGGCCGCCGATGGGGGCAGGCGCGAGCCGAGCTCCTCCAGACCGAAGCCCAGGCGAGCCCCGAGTGGGGCGCCGCTCGGGCCGGCGCCCCGCCCGGCGGACCAGTGCCCGGGCGACATGCTGGCCACCGGCGGCCCGGCCGAAAACTGGATGCAGCTAATGGGCCCGCGCGAGGCGAGCGGCGTGGCTTGGAGCTGGCGCGGCCGCAGGGCGGCCAGCGTGCTGGCCGCATCCTCGGCATCCCCGCCGAGGACCGACTCCAGCCCCGGGCCCAGCAGCAGGGCCGCCGGCGGGACGATCAGCACAAACTGCCGGTCCCCCGGACTGCTGACCAGCAGGCACCGGATGTCTCCGAGCCAGGGGGCCCGGTCGGGCGGGGCCAGGCTCAAGTCGGGCACCAGCACCCCGGGCGGGCAGGCGCTGGCCGGCAGGGCCGGCGCCAGGGCCACCGTGGTCTGGTGCCCGAGCGGGTCTGTTTGGACGATCTGCCCAAGGAGGTCAGACGGGGCGCGGGGCGCGGGGCGCGGGGCACAGGGGAGGACAGGCGGAAGAGGGCGGCTCGGGCCGCACTCCGGGGGGGGGGGGGGGGGGGGGGGGGGGGGGGGGGGGGGAGGGCGGGGGGGGGGGGGGGGAGAGAGCGAACAGGGCACGGCCACACGAGAAGCAGAACGCCGGGGGGGGGGGGGGGGGGGGGGGGGGGGGGGGGGGGGGGGGGGGGGGGGGGGGGCGGGGGGGGGGGGGGGGGGGGGGGGGGCCGGCTTGGGGTCGGCGGGGGTGTGGGGGGTGGCGGCCGGGGGGGCCGGGGGGGGGCGGACCTCCCCCGGGGGGGGGGGGGGGCACGGGGGGGCCGCCGGGGGGGGGGGGGGGGGGGGGGGGGGGGGGGGGGGGGGGGGGGGGGGGCGGCGGCGGTTGGCGCGGTCAGTGGGACGAGGGGCGAGGCCCCGGGGAAGCAGGGGGAGGGAGAGAGACGGAGGCAAAGAGGGAGAGCTGCAGCCGCGGCAATGGCCATGCGGGCGCCGGTGCCAGGAGGGGCGGCCCGCACCTGTACACCAAGGAGGTGGTGTCATCGCCGGCCAGGTGGCAGCACACATTCAACTGTGGCCAGCGTGGCGGCAGTCGGGCCGGCGGCGGTGGTGGGTCAGCAGGGGCCGGCTGGCGATGGAGGGCACGGCAAAAGGGCGGTGGCGCGCACCAGCGAGGCCTGCGGGAGGTGCACCGCCTGGTTGAGGAACATCTTGCCCCGCTGAGCCCCGGGCTCCAGCGGGGGAGGGAGCGCCTGCACGGAGGGGGCGCTCATTGGGAGGAGGCACGCCAGCGGGGCCCAGTTCCAGGGGGGAAAGGCGAACAGCGGACCGGTCGGGGACAATCGGCGGGCCGGGCGAGGCGGGGCGAGGAAGGGAGGGGGCGCACGCGCGCGAGCAGGGGGAAGGAGGGGGGAGGGGCGGGACAGCAAGGAGCAGGTGGCAAGGGAGGGGCAATGTATTGGCGGCACAGGAGCCGGGGGGAGGGAAGTGGGACAAAAGTGCCGATCGCAGTGGCGGCCGGAGCCCAGCGCGAAGCGGTGCAGGCGGACCCCCCCCCCCCCCCCCCCCCGGAGGCGAACACCGGCGAAAGGGGGGAGTATCGTGGCAGCCGTAGCAGCGGCTGGGGTAGCCCGCTAGAACAGCGCATCCATCAGCGCGGCAAAGGCCTCGATGGGAAAGCCGATCACCGTGGACGCCAGACCGTCGCGGCTGCCGCGGATGATCATCCGTGAGAGGTCCGATTGGATGTCGTAACCGCCGGCCTTGTCGCTGCGCGGCCCGGGCGGGCGGGCGGGCGGGCGGGAGCGACATGTGTGCAGCGCGCGTGTGTGAGCGGGTGGGGGTGAGTGGGCGGTCCGGCGAGGGAATTCAGCGTGGGGCGCGAGAACCGCGAGCGGCGGGCGAAGGGACGGGCTCGCGGAAGCGGCTCCCCCCCCCCCCCCCGGCCCGGCCCGGCCCGGCCCGGCCCGGCTCGCCGGGAACGCGGGACCGCGAACTAGACGGGCGGGGGCGGTCGATCCGTTGGGAGGTGGCGCGCCCCGGCCGCTCGGCCGCCGCCGCGCCCCCGGCGGCACGCACTATGGATGGGACTGGGCGATGAAGGCCCGGATCGTGTCGTCCGAGGCCGGGCACATGTCGACCCCGGTGGCGAAGGTGTGGCAAAAGGAGGCGGCCAGCCGGCCGGGGCCGGGCCCCGCGCCCGGGTCCACCGAGGCCAGGACCACGGCGCAGGCCACCGCCGTCAGCACCATGTGCGACCCCCGATCGCACAGGGTCCGGATCATGGCGAAGGCTTGGCCCTCGTCGGCCGGCTTCTCCACGATCTGGTCGCCGCTCTGGCAGGCGGCCAGCGGAAGCGACCGGGCCGCCTGGGGCCCGGGGGCGGCCGCCTCCGGCACGCCCGGCAGGACCACCACCGTGTCGGCGCAAATGACAATCTCATAGCGGAACCCCCGGCCGGCCGGCGGCAGGGGCGCCCCGGCAAGCCGGGCCACCGCCTCGGCCGGAGTCCGGAGGACCTGCGCCGCCCCGGGCCCCGGCGACGCGGGCAGGCCCGGCTCCATGCCGGGGAAGAGCCCGGGAAGCAGGTCCGTCATCTTGCCCCAGCAGGTGGCCGACACGTAGGCCGCCGCCGTCGGCGAGGCCTCCTTGGCCAGGTCCTCCTCGAAGGCCGACGGCTGGACCACGATCTCGGCCGCGGGCTGTGCGCCCCGGCGGGGAAGCAGCGTCAGTGGCCCTATGGCGGGG